CAATATGAACTCATTCACCAGAAGTCTCTCATGCTATAACTAGTGATATAGATCTACATGGAGCTTTTGTTAAAAGGATTTGGATATTTTTAATGACATCTGATTTGCTAGCAAAAATGTCAAGCACATAATTGCCATTTCAGAGTTTCATAAATCTGAATCAATTAGTAAAAAGAACCCCTTGACCTCATGTCCATGAGCGTTCAGGATCATTCAGTCTAAGTGCTAAGGAGCTATTGGCACATGATATTCTAGCTGAATGATCCTTTTGTTCAATCCCGTTTTCTTAGAACGAGGGTAAGTGCAGCTCCCTTTGAATTTAAAACCTTGCTAAATTATTTAGTGCTACATACCACAGACTGATTAAATTTTGCACAGAGTAGTGAGATTGTTTCCCAGGTAGGTCATCACTCAGTTCAGTTTACCACTTAAAATTTCTTTCTTTCTCAGTCAAAATACAGCAAGGGCCATCCATCATTATCACTCTGTCCTTTAATTTTTCTGTCAGCCTTTGTCAAGCTTGAAACAAAAGCCTTTACATTTTTATCAACTTCAGCTATTGTTGTCTGATTTGTGCTCAGTCATGTCAAAATATCGGTTGTGTTTTTACCAAAAAAAGTCAAATATTTTCAATAGGTCAGATCTATCTTTCACATAAGCCTGCTAAACCAAACAGAACCATTTCTCATTTCTTTGGAGATGGGGAGTAAAAATGCTTAAGGCCAAATCGGCAGTGAGAGTAAATTGTCCAGGCTCCCTGCACTTAAATGGATGAATGTCTTCTGCCTTAGCAAGAGGAATGTGGCATCAATTCAAGAAAGGAGAGGCAAACAGGAAATTTTGATCAGGCACAGCTTGACACTGTTTCAAGCTGATCTTGTACAACATTATTCTGCCACTCATGAGCAGCTCTGCTAAGGAGCAGCCTCCAGACCAAGCCAAGTGTTGTGTGCTCCTCCTTTTTCCTCTATCCACTTGGGATCAAACCTCCAAAAAACATGGTCAGGACCCCATTTTTTTTGTTAAAAATCCCGTTCAGGTCTTGTATAACCTGTGGGAACATAAGTGAAAAAGAGTTGGGACTGGAGTCAGTAAGTCCCCTTGGCATGAAGGTCAGCCCCTTTTCTATTTCCAACAACTTTTATGGAAACAATTAGTTCTCCATGAATTGTTTGTATTTCAGAGCTAGCAAGGTTTTGAAATTAATACCAACTTAAATACATTATTGGATTTCTGGCTAAATATCTCTCTGTCAACAGACATCCAGTTTAGAAGTGAGATTTCAAAATTAATGGTGCCAATTACTGCTTGACTTCTAGATCTCTGAGCATGGCTTTTCTATCTTCTTTGGTTCCCCATCTGCAAAATATAGCTATTTTCTGCTTCACAGGAGGCTAGGGATTAATACCTTAGTATTATTGAAATAGCAATCTTGTGCAGTGATTTGGGTATGGCTACTTGAATTAAAAAGTTCCACTCTATGAGGTCTCTTGGTCATAATGATCCTTGGTGTTTAGTGGCATGAGAGGCATAAACAAAGATTTGCTTTCAGCTGAACATTGTGTACAACCAGATTCAGAAATTGCAAGACAAGGAAATGGAATTAAGTTTCACTCTAACACAGGTTTCTTGGGCAGAAATGTGCAAATCCATTCTGTTGAGATCCTTCTTGACAGAAAGCTCAAGAGGACAAATCTTCATAGTCCCTTTGATAGCATGTTTTTGAGCAGCTGCCAGCAGGGAGCTCTGGATAACATAATGTGTGCCTCACTAGTGATGTAAGATAGCTCTGCCCTGCATTATAAAACAAAAAATAAAATAAAATAAAAAAGTCCTGCAGGACTAGAAACAGGTCAAATTGTCATTCCCTTTTCTGACACGAAAAAGAAGCAGCACACCCTCTATGAAACACAGTGATCCAGATGCCTTAAACAGAAGCCTGTGCTGTTAAGTATCATTTCTTACCTGTAGTCTGTCTGATTTTGGGAGCTTCCAAACCCACTTACATCCTACACCTGCAACACTGAGAGGGGAGACTGAGGACCACTGTACATTACTTCTGTTTTTTTCTAAAGCGTTTTCCAGGGAAAGACAAAGTTTTCATGAGAATCCATAAGTCTTGGAAGGACTGATAGTTTGATAGGAGCCTTTCTGTCAGACTCGATAGGACTGAGGGGCCCCATCCACATAAGAGGGGCTCAGGTGCTTTTCAGAGTGCTGTGCCTGGATTTGGGCCATCCAAAACAAGACTTAAGGATGAGATATGGTCCCAGAGTTCCAAAATGTGTTGTCTGTGTACTTTACACATTCCTGTTGCGGACTCTCATGGTGTTAATGAAGCAAATCCCCCAGGCAGAGCCTCGAACCTGGGCAGGTATGAACCAGACATTTCCAGAGCCCAGAGCAGACTCAGATTTCATTGCTAGTGCTCCTCAGGCTGCTGATTCCTTGTTCCTCTCTTGTACTGTGGTCTTTAAGAGTAAATCTTTAGAATTCTGTGAGCAAAGCAGACCAACTGTAGGCATTTACACAGAGAATTTCACCTTAGTCTGCAAAAAAAGAAACAAAGCAAATGTTATTCCTTGTATTTACGTTTCTTTTGAGAACATATGTTTTTCTTTGAGGCTTCTGACAAGCTGCCATTTTGATGTTTGGCATCAGAGTTTATGATTTTGATCAGGAAACTAATTTCTGCAAAAGTTTTCATTATTCTTGACCTGATGAGAGAAGATGGATTTATCACATCTGTATTAAAACGCTGATGTTATATTCTAGTTCTTGTTAACTTGAATTTTTCCTAGATAGCCTTTCATTTAAAATGAGAAATCTTGTTGGAAATGCTTCAATCAGAAGAGAAACCAGAAAGCAATCAAATTCTAAGTTTACCAGTCACTCATGTAAGCTATTATTTGGTAAAATAGGTAGACAGTGTGTTTGCAGAACAGATAGCACTGCCATAAAACCCTAACTTGCCATTGCAGAGTCTCAAGTAAATGGCATATTCAAGAAAGATAATTAATGGAACCGTAAGTCACACTAATTAGGTTTTTCATACAGGAATGATTTGTAAAGCTTTCTTAGTAAACAAGGCTTTGCTCCTCTTATGAAGTAGGTGGGTTTTTTTCTGTTTGATTTCATTTTTAGCAGATACTTATCAGGGAAGGAGTGTCCCTTTATGAGAAGAAATTGCATAGATCAGTACATGTGACATGTGTCTTTTTAACATGTTAATTTATTTCTAATGCTTGTTATACTCAGTTCTGTTTAATTATTGTGGTACTCACACTCCAGGTAATATTATCATTTTTCCTGGTGATTAATGTGGCTACACTGAGGGAGTTTCTAAAATCCTGTTCTAATTTTTCTGGCTTGAGAATATTTTGTAGTGAGAAATAGATTAAATATCAGTGTACAACAGACGAAAGAGGGATCTTGTGCTCTTTTCTGAAGGCTTCAGAAGTGGAAAATCCCAGAAGTGTAGATTCCAGAGGCTATAGTGCTGGTGTTCATCAAAACTAGAGGAATACAGAAAAATTTAGGTGACTTATAGATGTTAACTAACAAGGAGACTTTTAAAGTTGCAAAATAATCTGTCGTCCAGTGTGAAAATAAGGTAAGTATGCTACTTTGAGGTCTTGAGAGAGTAATTATGCAATGCTGAACACAAGGACCCTGTGTCTGGAGTGTGTTCTGTAGGGCCCAATACTGAAAAGCTCTGAGCTACTTCAGCTTCCATTGATTTCAGTCAGAATTGATGGTACTCAGAGACCAATTGCATTTCTTTCCACGGCAAGGGAAGACAGATTGTGGGTCAGATTTTGGCTCTTTTATTGCATTGAATAGCACCCTTCAGAAATATTTGCACTGAAATCAGTATGGAATGGGTTACTCACCATCAGCTGCCAAGAAACGAGTCCTTTCCTTTTAAACCTGCGATATAAATAATCTGAAAAATGTCAGGTGCTTTTTATGTCTTCATGGGAGTGCTTTTCTTTGGTTCTCTTCAGGGCTTTTGTTTGTTTGTTCTTTAAAACCCGCAATCACCTTATAAGCAAAGTCCTATTGGTCTTTATTGCTTTTGGCAGTGTAATCAAAGGATTTGCTCTCTGTACATCTGGCTATGTTCTGCTCTGCACTGGAGCATTTTGCAACAGATATTGTTGGTTCCTCTGCAGTGAAGCAGTGGTGCCCCCAAGCCTGGCACACCTGCACTTGATCAAAAGCTGAAGGGTTTTTTAGGACTGTCGTCGTCAGGGCTGTGCATTTTTTCTGACTTGCAAGCACGGGTTTGTTAATAGCAATACTGTTAGAATTTCTGATTTTTAGTTTGAAGCTGCTTTAGAGGAATACTGATGTGTGTACTAACAATAAATTGTGTTAAGGATGACTGAAAGATGAATGTGCCTGCTAATTAGGGTAAAGATTTTGAAATATACTCTGCTCTGGATCTTAGCAGACAACTGTGTCTTAATCAAATGTGTGGGAAGAAGAAAAGCAATCCGGAAAAAGCAACTCTTATAGTTAGTAGCATTTTCTCCCCTTTTTCCCTCCATTGAGTCTGTCTGAAAGTGGGTGTTTTAACATACAGCCATTTCTCGTTAACATGTGTGTGTTTATTTTAGCATGATGGTGTTTTTTTCATCTCCCACTCTGACACAGCATGTTTCATCTGTGTATGGTTTCTACTATATGAGGCATTTAAAATGGCTCAGTGAAGAAATGGATTCTTGTCACTTAAACCGTCACTCTCTAGATCTGTGGAAGCTTGGTCATTTTAACAGAGTTTTAAATTCCATATGCTCAAAGATTGACTAAAAAATTGAGAGTGATAAATGTCAAGAATTTAAAGGTACTCTGCTGTACCTGTAATAATTTATGTTAATCATGTTTTAATTTAGTCATTTTCAACATTCTTGTATTTACAAATTAAACCGCTGTTATGGTTCTCCTTTGTTTGCATGATATGATTTTATTTTATTTTTTTTTTTTCCACTCACCAGATGTTTTCAACACTTTGCTTCCCACTACTGTCATCCCCTCCCTTACCACTGCAACAGTCACAACCACTGTAGCCTTAACAGCCAGCACAACCACCTCGGCAACAGCCACCAGCATCGGAGGTACAGTATACTTCTTTGTTATGGCCTGGAAAGCACATTACAAACAGGAAATTTTAGGTTTTGTTTCTAAGAAGGGTAGATATTGCTAAAGAGAGGGTTCAAACATTTTGGTTCAATGTATGCTATGTATCTTTGATGGAATAAGCCCCAGGATGGTACACGGTTAAGAAAGATTTCATATGACCTTGAATATTTTCATTGCTCTAGCAGTGTGTATGTGAACTTTGACAGGATACTTAAATTATTTGTATAGATTTGCATTTAATTTTTTTAAGGTTAGTAAATTAACTTTAATGTAAAATGCAAGCAAGCTATTTTTAAATAAACTTGACCTTTTAAGAGTGGTTATTTTGGGTGCTACCATTTAAAACAAGATAGGTGCCTCAGCACTGGAATTTCTGTTGCTGCAATCTTGCTTGATATCAGAGGCATTGCATTACATCACCCTTGTTGGCCTTTTACAGTTTAAGGTATTCCTAAATTAGGGGTGTTGTTATCTCACCAGAACTAGAGTAAGTAAGCTGAAATTTCTCTCTCCCCTCCGTGCCCCCATCCTGTTGGGTTTTTGTCTGTTATAGCTTTTCAAATGTTTCTGGTAATGCTTTATTTCTTTATGTGCAAAATATAAAGGTTAATTTTACTCTTTTATTCAGCAACTGATCAGATAACTTGTTAAATAGGGAAGATGTGTGTGCAAGGTTTCACAGATTATCATCTTCTGGGTAGCTACGCATCTCTCACGGTAAATGAAATGGCAGAAGCTTTCTATGTGGTCTCTTGAAAGCTTTATTGCACAAAGGGAGAGGAAATAATATTCATTTACCACACTGCAATGTTCACATGATGAGGTACAACTAGGCCAGCCAGGAAAGTTAAGACAGAATCTTTTCTTTCTGGAAATGTTGTAGTGACCTAACTTGCAAGAAGAAGCTGAGCTAATTTGCAAGTCCAGTGTATAAGGATTGTGATAGTATCAGATCACCCAACTTCTTCCTCCATTGGTATTTTAATATTGTGGCCTTCATGAACAAACTGACATCAAACCTGTAATTGCATTTTTTAAACTCTAGTACTGCTTTTAATGTAAAACATATATTGTTGTTTCAGTGAAAAAGAGAACAAGTGCTATAGTAATCCCTTTCCTCCAGAAAAAAAAGGGATGGACCATGGAAAATAGTCCCATGCTCATGGGTCTGAGTGGTTGCAAGAACATTTCCTGAAAAGAAACATGACAGGAATTATCATGTCTTTCTAAGAGAGTGGTTTGTATCAAGCACCAGAAACTTGCCAGCTTTCTGAGGGCTCACATGCTGGAAGGATAAAGTTCTTGGTGTGCTGTGCTGGTTTTTTCTTTCCTCAATGAATTGTTTTCTTCTGTTTGTTTTGTGGTCATAACTAAACCATGTCACTGTTGTGATCGTATATGTAATGTATTCACGTTTTTAAGGCATTGTCTTACCTCCTACATGAGGTTTAGGGCCTCTTTTCCTTTACTATGAAGCATTCATTTTTATCATTTGTGTGCCCAGCACCAAGAGGAAGATCTGAAACAGGAGAACTCTCTTCTAAGCCTCAACTCTTAACACATATGAGAATGCATGTCACTTGATGCCACAGTTACAAAGAGATGCTGCTTTGAGAGAGAGTCCAGGAAGGAAATCTGGGTGAAGGTGATCAATGGCTAAAACACTCGCTTTTCCCAGCAAAATGACTGAGAAGGTGAAACCACTTCAGCCTCAAGGAACTGGTAGTTACAGTCTCTTGGGCAGATAAGCAAAAGGACAAATGAGTGTGGGAAATCTGTTTCCTGAAAAGCTTGAGTCGAAAGGAAAATCTATCCCAATGCAGAGGAAAAGATAGGACACGTGTAATAAACTAATGAAGTTGTTTATCTAACAGTCTGAGAAATCAAACACCAGGAAAACGTCAAAACAAGAGGTTGCTGTAAACATAAATCGTAGAGTAGATCGGTGGGGAAGAAACAGGAGACCGGGCATAAAACCAGGTGCAAAACGAAACTAGCAAGTTGTGAGAAATGTAACAAAACAAAAACGTTTAGAAATACGCTGGATGAAAGACAAAAATGAAGAAATTTTGTGATCCTGTTGATGAATGATGAGGACAAGGCTGAAACAACTGGTGTTTTATCCAACAATGGATGACAACTAGAGCGCTATTTCTACCAGGGGGGTCACACTGAAAAATGACCACAAATAGAGATCAAAAAACAAGGACAGAAAATTTAAAGGTATGTTCTGAAAAGAAGAGGAAGGCACCGGTTTGTTTGGTTTTGCTTTTGAAAAAGAAGTCAATATGACTCTGATGAAGAGTTATTTTCCAACTTCAATGGGGAAAATGAATCCCCTTATTTAGTGGCAAAGGCATTTAGTGGAGACACTTTGTAAATGCACAGGAGGCAGTGACTCTGATGTAGCTATTTAAGTTCTGTGACTGCCTTCATCCTGGCTTTCATTAATTCCCATGGCAGAGTGGACAGGATGCTCTCCTTAGGTCCCTTCATCTCCTTTCTCGGACCCATAAAACAAATATGACTGCTGTGAAGGCAGAGTTCTCCTATCCTGAAATACTAGACTGAACCTTGTCTAGATTCTCAGAACACCTCCACAGCAGAGGTACAAATGGCACAAGAGCCATTTTGGAGAGGGGCAGATTTTCAATAGTATCTGTTGTTGGCTGAGCAAAAAGTCCCACATAAACATACTTTCCTTTGACATTTCTTCATCCTATTCCAGTAGGATTTTTGACATGAAGGAATATATAAGGACATTAAACTGAGAAACTATTCATATATTCTCAACCTTAAAAACTATTTTTTTTTTTGTTGAAAGCAGCATTTCTCTTTGTCTTATGTTATTGGGTATACCTTAAAGAAACAGAAGTTTGCCCCAGATCATAGGGCAGTGTATCTATTTAGTAATATCTTTGAAATGGATTTCCAATAGCTGACATAATAAACTTGATAAACAGATTTCACTAATTCTGTTCTAAAATTATTCCTTCATACTTAAGAATCACCTCAGGTAAATTTTACAAGACATTCCTCTATTCTGCAGGACTTTTACACAGTCCACTTTGAGGATATGTTACTCCAATCCAGTCACAGGAATATGATACAGGATATAAAGAGGCAAGAGAATCTGTAAATCTAAGGCATTTTGCATTATGGTGATTTTACCTCCTCATTACCAAAAGCCTGAATTAATGGGGAAAAAAATTCTCCAAAAGTCATCAGTTAATTCTGGAACCGTGTGATCCATTGCTGTCTTAATTTGCATGGCATTTAGTAAACAGCATGAAAAAAGCTGCTGATCCAGTTGGATGACAGCATGATAATTCATAAACTTCCTATTCAGTCAAACTTTTCACTTTCTCAGACACACGTATGCTTGCCTTTGTGCTCAGTCCTTCAGGAATTAATTATTCTTTTACTGGTACATTACCTACTAACTCAAAAAATCTAAATATAATTTGATGCCAGTGAAGAGTGTTGCCCTTTATATATTTGTCAAGGGTATCTTAAAGCCTAATAACCGTGATGAGGAATGTACGACAAAATGAGAATAAAATGTATGAGAAGAAACAAATCTGGAGGACTGCTGAAAGAATAATTATACACTGTGTGAGTAGTTGTCTTTCTATCAGATTTATGTAATGTTATTTGTGAAAGCTGTGCATGGATCCACGCTATTTTTCCCTTTTAGGACTGGAAAGAGGCACAGGAGGATTGTGGATTTGCTCCTAATAGTGAAATAAGGGATACCTCCACTGGAAAAATTCTTTGTTAGTATAAAGTTAATTTAGATGATGCCATTCCAATACTTCAAAGTCCTGTAGGTGGAGAGGGCATGTGATTAACAGTCCAAGAGAAACCACCTCAAGTCAGAACAGCTCTGTGTTTCTGGATTCACAGAGGTAAAAATACTTGTGTACACAAATGTACATAAAACCCTCCCACAGGCTGGCATTATGTTAATCACCCACACACAGACAGAACAATTTTTTTTTTTATTTAAGTCTTATTCCTGACAAGGAGAGGGGAAAAAAAAAAGTCAAAGAGGTTATAAAACTTGTTTATTTTGACTTCTTATTGCTGAAGATTGAAATCTCACCAACAGCTCCAAAATAGGTGCAAAATTAATTTTGCAAGAATATCCCAAGCTCAAAAGATAGATCCATTCTGTTCATTGCACATATCAGAGTGATTCAGCCTCAGCTGACTCACTTGTATGACTGTACCAGAATGTTTAAAGCTCTATACAGAAATGCCTAAAAGCATCTCCAGAAGTTGTTGTGTACAGCAGAGACATGATGCTGCTCCCAGGCAGCTGCACTGTGAAGTTCAAGAGTTTATTTGTCAGGGTGACCACAAAGCCAGCGAATGTACACATTTATATGTGAATGAAATCCCTGCTTTATTATAACCCACTTTGCTTTTATTGGCTTTGGCTCTGGTATAAAATAAGGATTTCTTAAAGGAGATCTCTGGAGCTAAATTTAGAAGAAGAGTTTACGGTGGTGGAAGGAAGAGTTTGAGGATGTAATAATTTTGAAAACTATTGAGACCTTAGTTTGTGAATATTTCTGTTTAATAGTATAAAAGTCAACCATCTTAGCTAAAAAATTACATTGCTTTCTTATTTCCTATTTTTACCTTGAAGTCTATATTAAGAAATATAGACTACTATATAACCCTACTAGAATAACTATTTCTTTATGGCTTAAATGCAGAAACTGTTTGGACAGTACTTGTAGTCCTCATATACTTTTCCTATCCAAAAATGCTAAACATTGCCAGTTCTTTCCATGGGATTTCATTTTTCTTTCACATAATCTGATTAATATAACTTGGCACTTTGAGACATTGACAAAGAAAGAAACAACAAAGCAAGGATAAGCTGTGAGGGGCAAGGAAGATAAGGGCAGACTTGTACCTTAAATATAGTTGTGTATGCTTACTTGCATTCAGCTCTGATAACAAA